GCAAAGACATAAAAAAGAGAAAGTGAGAAGTTGTACAAAGAGCAGCACAGGAGAGAAAAGAAAAAGGTACAAAGGTGTTAAACGAATAGAGAAGAACAAATGATAAGGGAACAAAGAAGAGCACTGAGAGGAAACTATTTAAAAGAGGACCAGAAGAAAATAACATGGGAGTAAAGATGGAGAGAACAGAAGTGAGACAAAGCAAAGAGAAGAAAGAACATCAGGAAATTCCCCTGTGTGTGTCTCCTGAGATCAGATCAGAGATCAGAAAGATGAGTGACCTTGTGGTCATCTGTCAGCCCCTCTGACTGTGCTGGAGGCAGGAAATCTCTTGAGGGAACTGACATGCGCTCACACACCCTATTGTAAAGTATACCAAGGTGAACATACAGCTTGTGTGCTCACTCATACATATAGGACAAAGCAAATTATAATCAGCAAACAGGATATAGCCTGATATTACACCCTAAAGGTATAGTCAGCTTTTCTTTCAGTTTTTTTCCTTGTTCTGTCTCCAGAGGCTTACACATGCACAGGATTTCATACATGACACTCACATGCAGTAGTAAGAATTAATATGCCTTGTAGAAATATATGAACATACAGCATGTAGGTACTATAAATTAAACATGCTGTGAAATCGATTCAGCTGATTAGTGCCTGCTCATATGATTAGGCTAGTTCAGATTACAATGAAAACAACAAAACAGCATGACAAAAATTCTTTGTACAAGGTCCACTTACTGAAATTGTTCATAGTTTTCAGTTACTAACATTCGTCAAATAAGGTTAATAATAATCTGTGTATATTCATTCACCTACTCATTAAAAACAAACTAGATCTTACTATATAGTTGTAGTAGCTGCTTTGTAATACTTAATTGTCGTTTTCACTCTCACGCCTATGTACTCTGCAACAGAAGTAATGTGCTTTAAACTACAACAAAACAACGCAGGCTTGGAGCAGGACCAAACACATGAGCGCTTCTTTTGATAGGGCACGATTTCAAAATAAAGTACCCGCAGTGTTGGGTTGGTACTCACAGATCCGCGGGACAAGTTAAAGATGTGGAACAGCGAGTAGTGCGTGGCTGGATCTCAGGTTGGATGCTGCAGCAGTCCAACATGGAGCTCAGCTCAGCTGGAGCAGGTGGGAGACATCTGGCCTACTCCTCATGGACGACTGTCCTCCTCCTTTTTGTCTAATGAATACAGAAGTGTCCTTAGTCACTTTAATTACAAAAACCTCATACGCTAATTCAAAACGGCTTTGTGTTTTTGCTTAGCTATCAACACTAAAACGTCACTAGATAATGTACTGAATAGGTGTATTTACCTTGTGTGAATTGCAATAGGTCCTCAGGTAGTATATCTTTGTTTTAACCGACGTTATGAAAATACTCCCACTTTCACATGGATACATAGCTCAGGTGTTCTGATTAGATTGTAAGTCCCACCCATTTACCTTCTTCTTCTTCTTCTTCTTCTTCTTCTTCTCCCCCTCCTCCTTCTCTTTCTTCGTCTTATTCTTTTTTTTTATTGATACAAAGTAACACATTAACAAAACAAGTCCGGACATGGGAGACAAGACAATGGATACATGACATTACAAAAAGATGTAAAGTGCAGTATCGTGATGTGTGAGGCTGTGAAGTGTGTGTATTTCCAATTTATGCAGTCTGTGAAGGGAAGGAAAGGGAGAAGGAGAGAAACAAAAAAATCACAACAACAATGATAAGATACTACCAATAAAAGCAGCCTGTTACATTTTTAGAGATTGGTGGGAATGTGCGTGGCCTCAGCCCCAGGTGTTTGGTTCAAGTTGGGTTCCATGTGTCATTAACAGCTGATAGTCTATTCTTGTGAGTAGATGTCATTTTGTTTTCTTGGCAATAGCTAGAGAAATGAGTAGTGGGTTTTTGTATTTAGTGGTCAACGTCTGTGATATTACCGAGCAAGCAACATGAGGGAGGAGGGATTCTACAGCCCAAGATGGTGGAGAGTTTCCCTGTCACTGCTATCCAGAGGGAATGAACTGGTTGGCAGGTCCAAGAGTATCGTGATGTGTGAGGCTGTGAAGTGTGTGTATTTCCAATTTATGCAGTCTGTGAAGGGAAGGAAAGGGAGAAGGAGAGAAACAAAAAAATCACAACAACAATGATAAGATACTACCAATAAAAGCAGCCTGTTACATTTTTAGAGATTGGTGGGAATGTGCGTGGCCTCAGCCCCAGGTGTTTGGTTCAAGTTGGGTTCCATGTGTCATTAACAGCTGATAGTCTATTCTTGTGAGTAGATGTCATTTTGTTTTCTTGGCAATAGCTAGAGAAATGAGTAGTGGGTTTTTGTATTTAGTGGTCAACGTCTGTGATATTACCGAGCAAGCAACATGAGGGAGGAGGGATTCTACAGCCCAAGATGGTGGAGAGTTTCCCTGTCACTGCTATCCAGAGGGAATGAACTGGTTGGCAGGTCCAAGTAGCATGAAAATAATTGCCAGTGCAACCTAGAGTGCATTGTGAGCAGATGTCTGTGTCAGTGAAACCAATTTTGAACAGTTTACTTTGAGTAATATGGGTCCTGTAAATGGTCTTGTATTGTATAAGTTGTAAGTTTACATTGCTGGTCATAGAGAAGATGTTATTGCAAGTTTCAGTCCAGAAGTTGGAGCTGAGGGAGAGAGTTAAATCATGATGTAAGTGAGTGATTCCTTTGTGCTGCCATGTTGGGAAATAGATAGGGTTATTATGTAGTTGAAAATCAGGGTTGTGCCAAACTGGAGTGTATCTACATGGTGCAAGTGATGATTTAGTGAGTTTGTTTGCTTTCCACCAGGCTGTCAGAGTTCAGAAAATTGTGATGTTCATATAGTAAATCATTTTCTTAATAGAGTTGGGTAGGAAGGGAAGGTCTGAAACTGAGTTATTTGAGTTATTTTTACAGTAATTTTGCTCTAATTCTTCATCTTATTCTTCTTAGTCTTCTCTTCATCCTTCTCTTTCTTCTTCTTCTGTTATGGCTGTTGGGAAAGGTATGACAACCAATGCTCAAAATGCCAAAACTGGCGCCGCTGTGTTTTCTTGTGTTAGATTGTAAAATAACCACAGTGCTTTTCATATACAAAGGATCACTGATTATTAGTGTGAAAGAACTTTATGTAGTATTTTAAAGATTATTTATTCATCTTTCTAAAATGTTACTTATTTAGCTTAGAAAACACCATGATTAGCCTAGACTATTTATTCTCAGAGCATAATGCTAGTTCTTCTCACACATTATGTGAACTCATTTGGAACTTTCACCTTGTCAGTGTGGACAAAAGTGATGTGCCATTATTTTAACATTCTTTGACAATCATAAAGCAGGTGCAGGAACATTTGCATGATGGCTGAAGTAGCAGCTGACCAGTTGAACAGTACATTATTAAAATCTATATCATCCTGGATGACAGAGCTGCCATAAGGAAAGGTTAAATACAGAATGAAAGGAACACAGAAACAGAAATCATGTAGATAATTTTGGGTAGTGCTATAATATCTCCCCTTGGAGATGGAGGGATCAGTTCTCTGCTTGGAAACTGACACAAATGTCAGATCACGTTGCTGACATAGAGTGAGGAACAGAAGTATTTGAACACCCTGCGATTTTGCAAGTTCTCCCACTTAGAAATCATGGAGGGGTCTGACATTCACATTGTAGGTGCATTCCCACTCTGAGAGACAGAATTAAAAAAA